GGATTGATTGGGACTGGGATAGGGGTCAGGATCAGGGCCGGGATCAGGACAGGGATTGGGACTGGGATAGGGGTCAGGATCAGGCCCGGGATTGGGATAGGAATGGGGACTGGGATCAGGACAGGGGTCAGGATCAGGGCCGGGACAAGGATTGGGATTGGGGTCAGGATCAGGGCCGGGAGTGGGATCAGGCCTGGGACAGGGATTGATTGGGATTGGGACAGGGATCAGGATCAGGGCCGGGATGGGGACTGGGACTGGGATCAGGATCAGGGCCGGGATGGGGACAGGGACCGGGATCGGGGTCAGGATCAGGGCCAGGGATGGGGACAGGGACTGGGATCAGGGTCAGGATCAGGGCCGGGATGGGGGCAGGGATCGGGTCTGGAATCGGGATCAGGATGGGATCAGGACTGTGCCGGAGCCGTCGCTGCCCTTTCCCCGCAGGAACCTGCTGGTGAACCTGGGGCTGTTTGCCGCGGGCGTTTGGGTCGCTCGGAACCTCACGGACATCGACCTGATGGCGCCGCAGCCTGTGCCCTAGTGGGGGTGAGTGCGGCGGCTCCAGCCCCGCGGGAGGGACCCAGGGATCCCCATCACCCTCCCTGACACTGCCCGTTCCATTCCAGAGCTCTGGAGCTGCAGGGAGCAGAGCTCGCCGTCCCCAGCAGGATCGGAGCCGTGCCCAGCCAGGAGGAGTTCAGCACATTCCCTGGAGGATGTTGTTCTCCTCCTCCTCTGCAGAGCTGCTGTCCCACCTGTCCCCCCTGAGCCTGTGGCAAAGGGGGAAACATTTCAGGCCGAGAGGGAGAATTTATCCCCAGTTCATTCCTCCAGGCCCGATGGGAACCGTTTTCTCAAGGATATATGTGGAATCTCCTTCTGTGCCCCCACCCAGATGTTTATTAAAGTCTATGGAATAACCACATAACCCACTGGAGTTTCAGGTTGGTTTTTTTAATAAGAAACTTCAGCTTACAAAAAACAAGGTGTAAAAAGAGTAAAGATTTACAAAAGAATCATAAAAACATGATTTCTGTCTCCCAGCCAGAGCGAGCTGAGCCCTGCCCCGGGCTGTTCCCAACTCCCACGGCTGCTCCAGCCCCGGAGAGCCGAACTGGGATGGGCCGAGGGAGCTCCAGCCACCAGGTGTCCTGGGGAGTGTCCAGACTGAGTGAGGGAGTGCTGGCTGTGGGCAGGAGAAGCTGTTTGGTGTTGCATAGCAGTGAGTGCTCTGGGCTGGGGGGACAGTGGGAACACCACGTGGGAGCTGTGGCTTACTCACAGGTTCCACAGTAGCTGCTGTGATTTACTCACAGGTTCCACAGCAGCTCCTGCGATTTACCCACAGCAGCTGCTGTGATTTGCTCCCAGGTCCCACACCAGTTCCTGTGAGGTACCCCAGGGTGCACAGCAGCCTCTGGGTACCAGGAGCAGCTCCCAGCCCCAGTGCCCTGGCAGGGGGTTCCAGCATGGCTTCACATTCTTTGGACAGTTTCACAGGGGTTTGTGGTTTCAGACATTCTCCTGGGGACAGAGCTGCCCCCACACCCCCAAACCTCACTCCTCTATTCATCAATAACCCTAACAACGCTGTTGGCAAAGCTGCTGTTTGAACATCCTATAAAGAGAGGGAATTTCTTTTGAAGTCAGGATAATCCAAGTTATGCAGAAACAGTTTCTGCAGGAAAAGGGGATTAATTAGAACATTTAAGTCCCTTTATAGTTAATCTGAGTTTTGATTTAGCTCACACTAATCTCCCTGGCCTGGGGTCAGGCAGGGGCCAGGCCGTGCTGCTCAGTGCCTGAGGGTGACCAACCTGGCTGGAGGAAAAGCTGCTGAGCCTGGGATTAGGAGCTGCTGGACACACTGCCAGAAACAGCCAGGACTCATGGAATGTCCTTGGCTGGAAGGGATCATCAGTCCAACTCCTGTCCCTGCACAGACACCCCAGCAATCCCACCCTGTGCCTGAGAGATTGGCCGAACACTCCTGGAGCTCTGTCAGGCTCTGAGCTGGGGAGCCCAAACTCCTCTGAGGGAAGAACCTTGTCCTGACATCCAACCTAACCCTGTTCCAGCACCCAAACTCCTCTGGGGGAAGAACCTTTTCCTAATATCCACCTAACCCTCCCCTGACACAGCTCCAGCCCTGAATCCCTAAGCCAGAGGGGTGGAACTGCCACCTGGATCAGCCTGACACGCAGCATTTCCTGTGTGTGATCCCATTTGCTGCCTCAACTTCAAACCCAGAGCAGAGAATTGTTCTAGGGTAAAAAAATTGGTTTTTTTTTTTTTGCCAGTGCTTTGCAGAGAAACTGTGTTTTCTTTTTATGGAATGCATAGTTTAACTTGGGAATACAGACAGGAAAGGGATAATAAAGGCAAATTGATGCAACTAACTTGCTAGTGGAATAAAGTTACCTACAATAAAGTGGTTTCCAAGTGCTGCAGCAGATGTTGGGTCACACCTGGCCATGGACACATGAAGGTTCTTCAGTGTTAAAAACACAGAGTTAAGGAAATCCAATGTACTCACAGGCTGGATAAGGAGAAGCTGGGAACAGCTCCATCCCAAAGGAATTCCTGCTCCTCAGAGAACAACCTGAGGTGCTGAGAACCTCATGCCTGCTCCAAGCATCTCCCAAGGCAGCTGACTCCCTGCTGCCAGGCTGGATCCCAGCCCAGGATTCCCAGCTCAGGGTTTCTGCTGCAGACACTGCACTCCCAGCTGTGACTGCTGAGCTCCTCACGGGAGCCAGGACACCTCACCCACCTAGATCCTAGGCCTGCACAGGGCAGTGGCAGGATCTGAACCACCCAGGGAGGGCAGATGTGCTCCAAAGGCTCCTCGGTGCCAGTGCTTTCCTTCTCATCCCAAGGAGTACTTCTCCCTTCCTGATGGAGGTGATTTCCATGGGAATTCCTGGCAAACTGGACACTCTAAAACAGTGCCCACATGGAGAAGCCTTGGGCTCTGCTCCTCTCCCACCTGCAGCAGCCAACAGAAACCAACCAGCATAAAACATGCCATACACTGTTGCTCCCAAACAAAGCTAAACGTCCCAGAAGCCTCTGAGAGCTAGGAAAACACAGCTCACTCCTTCCCTACCAGGGCAAACATCTCCCGGCTGCAGGATCTCCCCAGCTCAGCCATGGCACAAGGAGAGGTCACCTCGACTCTGGCTGTGGGATCACTCCCAGCTCTCCCTCCCTCCACCACTGCTCAGGCCCCTGAACCCGTGTCAGGGCCAAACCTCAGCCAGACACGAGCCCTGGTGGCTCAGGATCTGTGTCTGTGGCAGGAACCACCCTGGCTGCAGCAGCTTGGCCTTGCTGTGGGATTGTTAGCCAAAACAAGGGCTCAGGGATGCAGAGAGGGATCCAAAGGGCCAGTTGGGAGCAGAGTAAACCACACATAATCCTCTTACTTACAGGGCAGGCAGGCCTGGGGGAACAGATGCAAGGGAAAAGCAGCAGGTTTCCCTTCCACCTCTCAGAGGGAAAAGGCAATTCCAAGCACTGTTTTGCCTTGAATTTCCTCTGCCTCACAGAGCAGGTTGAGCTCCAGCACATACCTGACAGGGTATCACTTCTGATTCCTTCAGGAATGTCAGCTCCTCCCTGGCTGAGCCCAGCTCAGCTTCCCCTGCACTCAGCAGTCCCATCTACTTTGATCACATCTCAGCTTGGCCTTTTGCATTGTTATGAGTTTTATTTACTGGTAGCACCAACAATTCCCTACAAAAAAGTAAATACAATTCAGAGAAATCCTTCAGGTCCTGCTACATTTAGAGAGCCAGAACTGAACCTTTTCAATCAGGACTGTGGCAAACTGTCCTGTCTTCAAAAAAATAACAGTGTTATGAGCTCAGAATTATACTCAGGTGTCAAAAAGACATTCTTTTAGGCCCCAAAATGAGCCTGTTGCTCAGACACACAGGGAGTGGGAAGGTTCAGGGCTGGAGGAGGCCTCGGGTGATGCTCTGACACAACCAAGTTTCTGTCTTGCTGTGCCCAGTTTGCCCAAGGACAGGAGGGCAAACGTCCCAGGGGAGGCAGAGGAAGGAGAGGAGTGGGACTGGGGCACTTCACCCCTCCCACAGCAACGTGGGGTTGGCAGTGTGTGATGGGCAAACACTGGCAGGGATGAAAGGAGAACAAGGAGGAGGAGAAACGCTTTGAGAACTTCCCTACCTGAAAAATGGAACCTTTTTTTTTTTTTTTTCTGAAGAACCTCTTACTTTTGATTATTTCACCTTTGTTCACTTAAAAAAATAACCAAACTGAGAGACATCCCATCTCTCAGCTCAAACCGTGAAACGTGAACAGCCAAACCCCCAACTATAAAAACACACCTGAGGTGCAACTGTAGGCTGAGAAGTGACTAGAAATAGTCCACTAAGGCTCTGTGTTTGCCACAGAATTCCAAAATCAGGATGATTTCAGATACAGACATTTTTGCAGCCTTTCCAACTCCACGTGGAATTCGGGATTGAACTACATTCCTTCCCTTGATGGC